GTCTCCCCTTCTGGCCCCTCCCCAGGACCGTGAAGCTGACAGAGTCCGGAGGGGGCCTTCAGACACCCGGGGGGTCCCTCACCCTCTGCTGCAAGGGCTCCGGCTTCACCTTCAGCAGCTTCGAAATGTTCTGGATTCGACAGGCACCCGGGAAGGGTCTGGAGTTCGTCGCACAAATTAGCAGCAGTGGTAGTGACACAAACTACGCGCCGTCGGTGAAGGGTCGCTTCACCATCTCCAGGGACAACTCCCAGAGCACGGTCACGCTGCAGATGAACAGCCTCAAGGAGGACGACACGGCCACCTACTACTGCGCCAAAGGTTATAGTAGTGGTTGTGGTGGTCCTTATGCTGTTGGTGGCTCCATCCCCATCTCCGTGTCCCCACATCCCTGCAAAACGTCTCCAGGGAAAGGGTCGTGAAGCCTTGGAAGAGGCTGCCCAGGGACGTGGTGGAGCCGCCATCCCTGGGGGTATCCCAAAGGTGAGCAGACGTGGTGCTGAGGGACATGGGTCAGTGGTGGGTTTGGGCCCAGTTGGGTGGATGGTGGGACGGGAGGAGCTGAAAGGTGCCTTCAACCCGGATGGTTCTGATTCTGTGACCCAGGGCTGGGATGTGGGGACGCGGGGTCGGGGCCACCACCAGCATAAGGAGCACCACAACCACCACCATAAGCATCTTTGGCACAGTAGTAGGTGGCCGTGTCGTCCTCCTTGAGGCTGTTCATCTGCAGCGTGACCGTGCTCTGGGAGTTGTCCCTGGAGATGGTGAAGCGACCCTTCACCGACGGCGCGTAGTAGGTGTCACCATCGCTGTCAATACCCGCGACCCACTCCAGACCCTTCCCAGGTGCCTGTCGCACCCATTCCATGGGGAAGCTGCTGAAGGTGAAGACAGAGGCCTTGCATTAGAGGGTGAGGGACCCCCCGGGTATCTGGAGGATCAGACCCCTTCTCCATCCTCCTCCTCCTCCTCCTGGCCGCCCTCCCAGGTAGGACCCTCATCTTCCCTCCCCGCCCGCGGAGATGGAGGACGAGCCATGGGGGGACCTTGGGGGTGACTCAATTGTCTCCTTCCTCTCTCCCTCCCCAGGGCTGCGGGCGGCCGTGGAGCTGACGGAGTCCGGAGGGGGCCTCGTGACACCCGGGGGGTCCCTCACCCTCCGCTGCAAGGGCTCCGGCTTCACCTTCAGCAACTACGGCATGTACTGGGTGCGACAGGCACCTGGGAAGGGTCTGGAATACGTCGCGGGTATTAGCAGCAGTGGTAGTGGCACAGACTACGCGCCGTCGGTGAAGGGTCGCTTCACCATCTCCAAGGACAACTCCCAGAGCACGGTCACGCTGCAGATGAAGAACCTCAAGGAGGACGACACGGCCACCTACTACTGCACCAAAGGTTATAGTAGTGGTTGTGGTGGTGCTTGGCCTGGTGGTGGCTCCCACCCCGTCACCATGTCCCCACATCCCTGCCCTGGGTCCCCACATCTTCCTGAAGCCCTTCACCCAACCCAGGTCAATGTCCCGAGCTTTGACCCTTTCCCCCAATCTCTACTGGTTTTGCCCCAATCTCTACTGGTTTTGCCCCAAGTCTCAACCATTCCTACCAAATCTCACCAATTTCTGCCACAACTCAACCGACTTTTCCCCAATCTTGACTCTTTGCCCCAAGTGTTACCCTCGTCCCCCAAATTCAACCACTTTTCTGCCAAATCTTGACCATTTGCCCCAACCCTCAACCCTTTTTGGCTCAAATCTTGACTGTTTGCCAAAGTGTTGACCAATTTGGACCCAAATCTTTTGACTCTTTGCCCAACCCTTGACTGGCTTTGGCCCAAGTCTTGATGGTTCATAGCAAATCTTAATGGCTTTTGTCCCCAACCCCCCTTTGCTGTGAGTCCCAGACTCCGACTCAGAGCCCAGACCCTTCCTGTGCCCCGACTTACACCTTTGCCCCCACCACGGACCCCTCTCCTGAGCCCTGATGCTTTGTCCCATCTCACAGCTGGAGCATGACCCCAGACCCCACTTCCCAGCCCCGTCTCTCACCCCCAGCCCTGGATCCTGGACCTTCCTTTGGTTCCACCATCTCCATGACCACCTCCAGCCCCACGGGGCAGACAGAACCTCCCTATCATCCATGGGACCCATCACAGGCATGTGGGGACGCGGTGCCGGGGTGGGAGCCACCACAACAACCACCAGCAGCTTGTGGTGAGTGCCCAAATTCCTGCCCAGAGCCATGTCCTGCCCGGGCTCCGGCTTCACCATCAGCAGCTTCTTCATGCAATGGGTGCGACAGGCGCCCGGGAAGGGGCTGGAGTGGGTCGCGTATATTAACAGTGGTGGTAGCACCTGGTACGCGCCGTCGGTGAAGGGTCGCTTCACCATCTCCAGGGACAACTCCCAGAGCACGGTCACGCTGCAGATGAACAGCCTCAAGGAGGACGACACGGCCACCTACTACTGCGCCAAAGAACTTCCTGGTGGTGGATTTGGTGCTCCTTATGCTGCTGGTGGCCCCGACCCCATCACCGTGTCCCCACATCCCACCATCTCTCCCAATCCCTTCCCACACTGACCCGGGGCTTGTACCGAGTCTGGACCCTGGCACCAAGCACAAAACCCTGTATCGACCCCAAATTCTTTGCTTTTGACTCAAATCCCTGCCCTACACCCCCTCTGCCAGGGATCTGGTGTCACCTCCATCAGCCCCAGCACAGGCCGTGGCTGACAGACACCCAGGATCTGCCCAAGATCCTCGCCCCAAGTCTCGGCCTACCTGTCCTGAGCCCGACCTCCTTGCCCCACATCCCGAAATCCCAGCATCTTCCCCAAAACCTTTCCTTCCAGACAGAACCCCTGAGTTTGGGTTGAGGAGAGGGGTCTGGGGTGGGGGCCAAGGGGTGAGGAAGGTTAAGTCGGGGCACAGGAAGGGTCTGGGCTCAGAGTCGGGGTCTGGGACTCACAGCAAAGGGGGGTTGGGGACAAACGCAGCTGAGTTTGGCTGCAAACTGTCAGGATTTGGGCCAAAGCCAGTCAAGGTCTGGGCAAAGAGTCAAGGTTTTGGTCAAAATTGGTCCACACTTTCGCAAACAGTCAAGAATTGGGCCAAAAAGGGTTGAGGGTTGGGGCAAATGGTCAAGATTTGGCAGAAAAGTGGTTGAATTTGGGGGACGAGGTTAACACTTGGGGCAAAGAGTCAAGATTGGGGAAAAGTTGGTTGAGTTGTGGCAGAAATTGGTGAGATTTGGTAAGAATGGTTGAGACTTTGGGCAAAACCAGTTGAGATTGGGGTAAAGGGTCAAAGCTTGGGACATTGACCTGGGTTGGGTGAAGGGTTTGAGGAAGACGTGGGGACCCAGGGCAGGGATGTGGGGACACGGTGATGGGGTTGGGGCCACCACCAACCCAAGCATCACCATCAGCACTTTTGGCGCAGTAGTAGGTGGCCGTGTCGTCCTCCTTGAGGTCCTTTATCTGCAGCGTGACCGTGCTCTGGGAGTTGTCCCTGGAGATGGTGAAGCGACCCTTCACCGACGGCGCGTATTCTGTGCCACTACCATCCTTGCTAATTTGTGCGACGAACTCCAGACCCTTCCCAGGGGCCTGTCGCACCCATTCCATGCCGTAGTCGCTGAAGGTGAAGCCGGAGGCCTTGCAGCGGAGGGTGAGGGACCCCCCGGGTGTCACAAGGCCCCCTCCGGACTCCGTCAGCTCCACGGCCGCCCGCAGCCCTGGGGAGGGAGAGAGGAAGGAGACAATTGAGTCACCCCCAAGGTCCCCCCAAGTTCTGGTAGTGGTTGTGGTGGTGCTTGGCCTGGTGGTGGCTCCCACCCCGTCACCGTGTCCCCACATCCCTGCCCTGGGTCCCCACATCTTCCTGAAGCCCTTCCCCCCCTGCCAGGGACACCCCCCTCCCCGCCCGTGAAGATGGAGGACGAGCCATGGGGGGACCTTGGGGGGGACTCAATTGTCTCCTTCCTCTCTCCCTCCCCAGGGCCGCGGGCGGCC